TGTGTGTGTGTGTGTGTGTGTGTGTGTGTGTGTGTGTGTGTGTGTGTTCTGGGGCCATGTGAGAGACTGAGACTGATTTCTTGGTTTACTTGAAGATCTCTATAAACTAACCTATGAAGCTTGTTAGCCAGGTGATCTGTAGAAACTCAGCAGAGCTTTCATGTTTCATGTGACAAATCAAAACTTGATGTGGTTTATTCTGTAGCAGGAAGAACTAGAGTCCTGCTTTCCTTCATCTAGCTAGGCCAGACATTCAGCTTATAACCTGAGGGGTCTTTCCCCTGGGCCTCTGAAGGCAGGCTCCCAGCAAGAACAGAGACACTGCTGTAGGGACTCCATCTAATTCACTGTTTGCTGCTGGACAGTGTTCCTAGGCCTCAGAGAACACAAAAGGACTCACTCACTGGTAGGGTACAGATCCTACTGTAATGTTTCTGTTGTTGTTTGATTGGGTATTACTCTGTAGCTGAGGCTGGTCTCACAGTTACAGTCAATCCTACTGCCTCCGGAGTGCTGAGATTTCAGGCATGCATCATCCATGTCTATCTTAGTCCTTGTTTTTGGTAGGACTGTGGCTGGGAAAGACTGAATTACTTCCAGAAGTTTGTTCTGTGCTTGTCACTGCCAGTAAGCCTGGTATTCAGGTCTCTCTTCCCTGCTTCTCAGTAGTTCTCCATTTGTTCCTTGTTTTTTGAAGCTGTTATGATAATAAACGAGATAGGAAGAGTTCATTTCCTTCTCTTGCAGTTTGGATGGACCCATGTGACCTTGCTTATTGTCGTAACGCAGTCACACCTTGTTATCCATAACTTGTTTGAAGGAATGATATGGTAAGTAGTGACACTGGGAAGAATGATTGCTTCCCCTCCCCTACTGGAAGCCTTGATGAAGGAAGGGCTGTGGGTTTTAGAGGTGAACAGTGAGGAGGTTGTCTTTGAGTTTCATTGTTGGGAAGAGACACCATGACCACAGCAACTTATCACATTTTGTCCCCTGGCCCCTAGAAGCTTATAGCCATAATATAATGCAAAATACATTTAGTTCTAGCACTTGGGGTTTGAAACCTTAAAGCCTGTTTCCTGTGCGCACATCCTCCATCAATGCCACCCTAATCCTTCCCAAACAGTTGCCCGCCCGGCGCAGTGTGGAGTGAACTCAGTCAAATTCCCGTGCACTTTTGCCTCTCTGATCCGTGGCAGACACTTGGGAACCACAACACAACCCAACAGGATCCATGCGCAGTAGTAGGGAGTGGGGAAAGAAGCAGTTTTCTCCTACCTCTGACAGTTTATTGTCTTGTTCATGTACTACTTTGTAATGAAAAGGGAACAAGTGGCTTTTGTAGAATGCTATCTCAATCACTCAGTGAACACTTGTGTCAGGCACTAGGTATGGCATTTTGGTGTGTTGTCTCCTGAAAGGGTATTTTTTAAGTTAGATAAATAATATAACAGTAAGCCTCAATTTACTAATACAAACAGTTAAAAATAAGTCAGCTAACTTGCTAACCCAAGGCTGTCACAAATGATGCAGGGAAACATAGGTCCAAAGATCCACCGACTGTAGAAGATAGGGAAAGTAAGTGCCCAAGGGTAAATTCCTTAAGAAAGAGAACATTAATAAAACACCCATCTGTTCCTGTGATGTTTTAAAAACTCCCGCCAAAGGGCCCAAGGACTTGCTAATTAAATCCTGCCAGGTGATGAGCTGGCTCAGATAAAATTCACACTGAGTCTCAAGGCCACAGAAACCAGGGACAGTTCTCGAGAGATCCGTTTACACACATTACAGATGTTTGAAACAGCCAGTTGTATATGACTGTGCCACAACCCTTCCTCCCCCCGACCTTTACCTTTGAATATCCTAAACTGTTACAGCTCAGGGCCGAATCCGCTGTCACCTACGTGAGATACGCTTCGGACTGAAGCTTCGTTCATTAAACCTGACTCTTGTCATTACAGCAAGAGGTCTCTGGAGTTACTTGAGAGCTCGAGTTGTACCCGAGTCTATTTTTAAATCTGGGGACGCTTTCATCTAGTTCCCTGACTGGGAACCAAACTCTTGTATTTTTGGTTGTGAGCCTAGCCTTTAATGGCTGAGCCATCTCTCCAGCCCTAAGTTAGATAAATAATCTAACACCCCCATGTCTTTTTTTGGGTATGGTCTCAGTATGTACCCTAATCCAGCCTTGAACTGACAGCAGTCCTTCTTTACCCTTCCCTGTTGCTGTTAGACTTGTGCAACCATAGCTGACGTACTTTCTTGTAAGTTTTTACTTACAGACGTAAGTTAAAATAGCAATGTATTTTGTTATGGTCTCATATGCGTGTACAGGGTATTCTTATTGTTCACCCCTTATTGCCTTTTCTTACTTCCTTCCCACCTCCCCTGATTCCCTGCCTCTTCCCGTGTTTATTTTCTTTTCAACTTAAACCTTAATGAGTTATAAACACACCAAGAGTTATTTTGGCACTGAATTATTGTTGATATTCTTCAGTGGACTTCTGAGAGCATCTTGGTATAGTGACTCCTTTTGGGTCTTTCCTAGGTTTATTGTTCCCATTTCATGCGTCATCTGCAATGATATTATGGCTTATATGTTTGGCTTTTTCTTTGGTCGGACCCCACTCATTAAGGTAAGTGGATCACCCTCACATGGATTGTCATGGTGGTAATGCTTTGTCTATGGCATGTCAGGGGCTAGAGAGGAAAACCAGCTGGTATTTATCCATGTGGTCCTGTCTTCACGTTACTTTGGGGCTGTGTAAGGGAAAAAAAAGGATCAAAGCGACCCTGGCAGATACTTTGAAAAAAAAATCTGCCAAGGAATATATTTTTATGTAGGCATACTTTTATGGCTTTGCTCTTAATTTGACTATTGTTAATTAATGTGGATTTTTATAATATAATAAGTGTGTTAACCATTAATGGAATAGAAAGAAAACTAACCTAAAGAACATAGGATAGAAAAAACATTTTGGGGGAGAATTTTGAAAGTGACATGATTAATTGAAGATTGATTTTATATAGAGATACTTGCTTCTATGGTTTTGAGACAGTGTCTCACTGTGTAGCCCTGGTTGTCCTAGAACTCACTATGTAGTTCAGGCTGGCTTCAAACAAGAGATCCTCCTGACTCTGCCTCCTTCTCACTGGGATTAATGGTGTGTGCTGTCATCCCTAGCTAAAAATACTTTTCATAAGTAATGGAGCACCAGACCTGAGTTACAGAAGTTCTTTGCTGACAGTGTGTTTTCTGTCTGCAGCTCTCTCCAAAGAAGACCTGGGAAGGCTTCATTGGGGGCTTCTTTGCTACTGTGGTGTTTGGCCTTCTGGTAGGTGGTATCTCCCATCTGGATGGGAAGGGGACAGGGACTCACACCATCCTCAAAGGCCTGTGCAGAAGTAGAGAATGTCTTCCCAAAACCAGACCAATGCTGACCCTTGCTCAAAAGAATGCATTCTGTAACTGGCATGGCAGCTTCCAGCTTTCAAGCAGTTGTGTAGGGGTCTTTGTATATCTTATGCGCCCCATTATGCCCGTGTGCCAGGGAACACTAATATTGGGGTGACAATAGCAGCTTGGAGTAGGGGGTGAGGTGAGATGTGTTGTTTCAATTTAGATTTTCTTCTGCACGTGACTTGCTTGGAGGAGTATAGTCTTGTAACACTTTTGAGGATGCCATGCCCTGCTGATGATCCTCAGTCCCTCCCTCTCTAGGGTTGGCTGGCTGTCGCTGTACCCCCCACAACCCCACCATGGCTTCCGTGTAGGCCTGAGTTTAGAGAGTTTTAGCACAGTAGGACAGGGCTTCCCAGGTGGGAAGAATTATCTTAAAAACAGCTCTTTGTTCAGATCTTTCCTGGGCCTTTTCAAGGTCTTTGTGTTTGGACACATGTATAGAGAGTGTGGTGTGTGTGTGTGTGTGTGTAACCTTCTTGCTTAACAGTTCAGGTGAACTACACATGTGGTGAAACATAACCGTCTCTTTGAGCCCATGCTGTCCAGAGAACAACGTGGAAGGCACTGTGAGACTCGTGGCCCAGTCAGGTGTTGGCCCACCAGGCTGGATGTCTACAACTGATGTTCTTGTCTGCCCTCTGCTCTTTGTCCTTAGCTCTCCTATGTGATGTCTGGGTACAGATGCTTCGTCTGTCCTGTGGAATACAACAACGACACTAACAGCTTCACTGTGGACTGTGAGCCATCTGACCTATTTCGTCTGCAGGAGTACAACATTCCTGGGGTAATCCAGTCAGTCGTTGGCTGGGTACGTACTATTTACATGGGCGATTGCAGAGAGGAGTTCCCTCCAGAGATATTAGCTTCCCCTCCTAGAGCTCTGAGCCTTATGCCAGGGTAAGGGTAGAGGAGACCTTTCTCTAACTTCATGTCAATCTGAGCTTCAGCACCGCCTGGACTACAAGTCATTGCTTGCTTCATGCTACACCCTCTGCCAGTCACACAAGCTAGCTGCTCCTGTGAATGCCCTTGATGGGACTCTAAAATTAGTAACTTCATTAAAATATTCCTGATCCTTGACACCATTTTAATATTCTCTGTACTGAAATGGAAAATACACAGAAAGTATTTCTGCCAAATACTGAAGCACAGAGTGTCCCACAGAGAAAACATGTACTGTTGTTTTAAGTTGTGAGCTCGACTGGCCGCTTAGCTCTCAGGAAGGGTGTTTTAAAGACTTGAGTATATAACGGTTGTTGGGTTTTTTTTTTTTTTTTTTGAGAAGAGTGACATAAGTCTATCACTTAAAAAAAAGTGGCCGATAGCAGTTGTTACCTGTGATAAAAATACGCATTTCAGGTGAAAACAAGAAGTTGGAGAGCATGCACCTATCATTCTGAGCATGATGGGTTTCTGGCACTTCTATGAAACTGTTCTGACACCACATGACAAAGTGTCCAACAGTGAGCTGATATTTCTTAAATGACAGTGTATGGTATCCCACAGTCATGTCTGGATAAAAGATCGACCCACAATGCATTGTAGATCAATGGATTGTGTGTGGAAGCACAAAACATTCATTGGGGGATTTCAGATTCTGCACTGTTCCTATTCTCTTTTGTGTGGTGGGGGGGAGGTGGGGTGGGGGGGGGGACAGGATCTCACCATGAACTTGGAATCCTTCTGCCTCCTTCTGAGTGCTGAGATTGTAGGTGCAGCTGTTTTTCTTCTCTTTGTGTGTGTCTGTGTCTGAATGAATGTGCACATATTTGCATGTGTACATACATACGTGTGGAGGCCCTAGGTTGATGGCAGAAATCTTTCTCAGTTACTCTTTTGCCTTATCCTTTTGAGGCAGAGTTCTTGAGCTAATCTTGCTTGCCAGCTTGCTGTGGGATCCCCTTCAGGGTGTTATAGGTGGCTGCTATGCACATTCAGCGTTTACATGGATTCTGGGAATCTGAACTCCAGTCCTGTTGTAGGGCAAGTATTTTAACTAATGAGACTCTTCCCAGCTTGCACCTAACTTTTATGGAGTTATGCCTGTCAAGTTCTGAGAAGACTGCCAAAACACTCATCCTTTTGAAATTTTATTCTCTGTAAAGTTAAGGCTGGATTTTCTTCATATATTGCCTGCAAAACAGCATAAGAAGTTGATTCCAGAATTTCTCCATTTTTTCGTTTGTCTGTTTGTTTGTGACAGGTTCTTATGTAGTTTAGGCTGACCTTACATTCCCCCTGTAGCTGAGGGTGCCCTTGAACTTCTGATCCTCTTGCTCCTGTCACTCCAAATGCTGGGATTACAGGCTCATGTCACCACTCCAGGCAGAATATCATAATGGTCTACTATTGGGCCAAATGCTAGAGATTTAAAAGCATGGACCAGTTTTGTTTATTTGTTTGTTTGTTTGTTTCTCTCTTTTCTTGTTTTGTTTTAAAGACTCCCTTTAGATGTATGAGTGCATGCCTGCATGTGAGTGTGTGAGCCTGCAGTGTCAGTGGAGGCCAGAAGAGGGCATCACATCTCCTTGAAATAGAGTTCTAGATTGTGGTAGTGAGCCACCATGAAACAACCCAGATTCTTTTCTGGAATAGCAGGTGCTCCTGACCAACAGACCATCTCTCCAGCCCTGCAGTCTTTTGGTTGATTGAAAAAAATAGAGACCCTGTTTTATCAGGTTCTTAATTAACTGTAAGAAGCCGACTTGCTGACTTTGATCTCACTTGCTCTCCTCAGAAAACGGTGAGGATGTACCCTTTCCAGATCCATAGCATCGCCCTCTCCACCTTCGCCTCGCTCATCGGCCCATTCGGAGGGTTCTTCGCAAGTGGATTCAAACGGGCCTTTAAAATCAAAGTAGGGAATCTCTGCCCCTCTGCCCCTTAACCCTCACTCCCTGTCATCCATGTCTTCCCCCCCACCCCCCGGGTCTATCAGCCTTCACCCCTCATACCAGGTCATGCCCCCTGGCACTTAATGTGTGCTTTTCTTGACCCATGTGGTAAATTTGGGGGACAGTAAACTAAAGTAAAAATGTTTAGTTTGTTAGTGTTTCTTTCAACCAAAGAACATTTTGTAATTTATAGTTGTTTATAGTTATAGTGTAATTTATAGTTGTGTCCTGTGATCACCTTTTCTGCCCAGCGGGGTTGGTCATGGGGTGGATCTGTTATTCTGGAATTTGGTTGTTGGTGGGCCCAGGCTCATCCTTCCTTCCTCTGTCTCTAACAGGATTTTGCCAATACCATTCCTGGTCATGGCGGCATCATGGATCGCTTTGACTGCCAGTACCTGATGGCCACCTTTGTCAATGTGTACATCGCCAGCTTTATCAGGTGCGGGTCTACTCCACCAGAACCTGATGAGTGGATTTTTAAAGTATAAGTGTGGTTTTCCATTGTTACTCTTTATTGATTCTCTGAGGTCTCTCTCCCTCAGCTAATAGTGAATTCAGGGATCAGAGTGCCTCGTGGGTAGCTGGGCCCACAAAGCAGCTGGCCCCTGCTCAGGAATGCTTCCTGTTGTGTTGTAGGGGCCCCAACCCGAGCAAGCTGATTCAGCAGTTTCTGACGTTGCGGCCGGACCAGCAGCTTCACATCTTCAACACACTCAAGTCTCACCTGACTGACAAGGGCGTTCTGACGTCTGCGTTGGATGATGAGTAGAGTCCACCAGGGCCAGGAGAGCTGGAGCAGGACTAGAGTGAGGGCCGGTCGCCAAGGCTGGCCCATCTGCTGTGACTTAGATAATGAGAAGCTTCAACTCACTGTCTTTTTTTTCTTCTCCCTTTTTAATTTGTGTGTGTGTTTTTTTTTTTTTTTTAATCTGTATATACTGTCTGTTTATAATGTGGGCTGTGAGTAAGCTGTAGCTTTGAGTTGCAAAGAAGTCACAGGAAAGGACCATTTGGGTTTCTTAAATACAGGTATTGAACAACATGAGGGACAGTGTTGCCCAGCTCAAGGTGTCTGCTTGGTGGTTCTAACCCCCACCCATCCAGTTGTTGCTGGGCTGTATGAGAGATCATACATTCATCTGTGTCTCTAGTTGAGGACTTTCCCACCTGGGCGGGGCTTCATGGCCTCTGTGCTTTTGCTGTGCTTGACACCTTTTGCTAGGCTTCTGCAGGCATCTCCGTCTGGGAGCAGTGGAGGGCTGCCTTCTGTAGAACTGTGGGAGGGAGGCTTACTGATCAGATGAGCATCTTGTCCAAGCCAAAATTCTGCAGAGGGCATGTGAGTGAGCTTGCTTATAATAAGTTTGCTTTCACTGTACAGACTGAAAGAAGATTTCAGACTTCTTTTTCTCAGAAAGCATGAAGAATTTATGAAGTCTGGAAAAGAAGCCCCTACTGTAATATTCCAAATGTATGCAGTAGAGTGCACTGTCACAGACTTTTCTGCACCACCCAGTGCCAGTGGCCTCTGGCATCTTCATGATTGTGCTGTGGGTTTGCTGCTGCTGTGCCGAGTTCTTCTGGGGGAGCCCTGAGAAGTGGGGAGCAGAGGGCTTTTGCTCACACACCCTTTGCCTGGAAGCCCACTTGTGTTGCTGCTGTGTTGTGTATATAGTACCCTTGAGGTGAGCGTATGTGTGTCCGTTTAAAAGTCACCTTCTTTTCTACATGATTTCAGTCATACCCGACTGTCCTCAGAGTCCCTACGTCCTGCTTAGAACTCTGGCCAGCCTAATCTGTCAGAAGGCTTGGCTCCTTTCAAGACTCAGTGTACACTTTTTATGGAATGTGACTGTGTAGATGTAGTTTGTGCTTTCCTGGGGACCTTCTGGTGTCGTTTGTGTAAGCTGTGGTGATTCTTCCCCTTCCTAAATCACAAGTTGAGATTGACATGGAAAGGAGCGGCTGGCAGGGAAGAAACTTGTTCTCCAAGAGTGTTAACCCACAGCCCTGCCTCGGGGTGCCCACTGCTGAGAAGGCTGCAGTGACTTGCTCAGCCACCCTGGTCTGTGTTAATTTGTTTTCAGATTAGCCTTCCTGTGGCCTCCAATGCTCAGACAGCCCTCAGAGTATCACTGGAGCCCCATAGGGGCAGGGGCAGGGGCAGGGGCAGGGGCAGGGGCAGGGGCAGGGGCAGCTCCTTGTCTCTCAGCCTTGACTTCCTTGTCAGCTTGTGGCTTTTTCTTCTCAGCTCCCAGGGCCGCACTGAACACAAAGCTGTTGCCTTCAGTTTGGTTCTGGCTGGGTAGCCCTGAGTGGGAGCTTTGCTCTTATGGTTCTCCTCTGACTTGCCCTCGAAGTTCACCAATTCTGAAACTCTATGGAGAAGTTCCTGTCATTAGCGGCCCCTGTTGCTATTAAGTCATGTCTTGGGCACTCAACAAAGGAAGTACACTGAGGTGTATTTTACAGTTGCTCCTTAAGACTCTCAGCGCTCATTAGGAGTGACACTGACTTTTCTGATTGAAAATGACCTTGGGTCACCAGACTAGGTAGAGAAGGGCACACCACCACTCTGAGGCAGCCAGGACTCACTTTTGGGCAGCAGCCACTGAGGCTTGAGGAAGCTGCTGTCCTAAAACACTGAAACCCAGTGCTCACTGGAGCTGCCAGCCACAGGTTTTTAATCTTTTCTAAGTTCCCCAGTCTTGTGAAAGAAGAGAATTTCTCAGTCAGGTAGCCAGGAGAACAGTGCCACCATGTGATTGTACAGCATATTGTTTGTCCCGTGAAACAGGCAGGCCTTAGAGACGGCTTTCTCAGCAGCGTGCAGATCTCAGTGGTTCACACAACTTGCTTTCCACTCGTTTTGTTTTGTCAGAAATAAAATGTTTGTGTCTTTCCTTGTCATGAATTCCGAGTTCGCCACTATGATGCATGTCTTTCAGTTTTCCTGCTTTGTGTGAGTATAAACACTGCAGGTTTACTGTTTGCTAGTTTGTGTGCCATCTGTTCATAGCAGCCTTCTGAGGCATCTCAGGGGAGAGCCATGGGGTGGAACCAGATAGTACCCCATCTCAAAGTGTGCCTGTAGGACAGGGTTAGCTAGTCCCTGAGGCCCCAACACTGGAAATACTGCATTGCTCCATCCCATGGGCCATGGAGCCCTCCCTGACCAGGCCAGTCTTGGGCACTGCTTAGATGGCTGTTAGCTTATAACTGATGAAGTAAGGAATTTGTTAACACTGGGGTTCCAGAAACCAGGCTGACATGAGAACAAGCCAGGGTGTCTTCCTGGTGAGTTCTGTTCATGATTGTTCTCAGGAAAACTGAGCCTCCCCTTTGTGTGTATGTGTCTCACCCTCTCAGCCACTTCAGTGTCAAAAATGTGTGGATTGTGTCTTCTGAAAGTGAAGTCCTGTAAAGAAGTTGGGAGAGTATCCTCATGGCGCATACTTGGACGTACACATACACGAACATGTACACACATGCACAGACACACACACACATGCACAGACACATACACACAGCCTATTTCACATCCTTAATTTCTGCTTTATAACCACATTTAAAATGAATTTATTCTTATTGTACTGTAGTGTGTGTGAACCAGTCTTCAGAGGAGTGAAATGTGACATGTAAATCTTACATAGGTGGACCGGGAAACAGTTTTTATGGTATTTTGCCCCTGCTTGCTTTCATCCTGTAACCTGGCCTGTATTATACAAGAGAGTTGGAGCAGTGTATTTCAAGAGAATCAACAAAGACCTGTGTTGGGCTACTTGCTAGGTTGGCTGGGACCTGCTCTGAAGGGATCCCCCAGTTCACCGAGTGGCAAGCCGAGGTCAATCCTTGCTGTTGATGGAGCCAGGAGGAGGAGTAACCTAAGGACTCAGGACAAAGCATCTCACATGCAGTTCTGTGTGGCAGTCACTGTGTTCCTCATGGAGTCAGCCTGAGGTAGATTTCCAGGGAAGCCTTTTCCTCACTACCAATGTGGGATGTCACCACTAAAACTTGTTGTGTTAGTAATGTCTAAGGCCATGTTGTCTTTGTCTTTTAGAGTAATTCCTAGCTGTGCCTGCTACTCTTATGTGCATACTGTGTTTTTATGGGGAAGAGGGCAGTTTCATGTGCATCCAGGGTTCTTGTTCTTTCCAGGAAGGATGAGAAGGAAGGCCTAAGAGAGGATGACCAGGTGACTGGTGTAGATACAGTAGGAGATCCTCAACTATGGGTGCTCTCTGTCTGGAGCATAGGGCTCCAGAGAGCACCCAGAAAATTGTTGGGCAGAGCTTCAGACTCTTCCTCAGCTTGAGTAAAGGAAACACCCTTTCCTCTTATCACTTTCCTCACAGTTGCTCGACATCCTGTTTTTAAAGAGCGTTAGCTTCTGCTTCCTGACTCACTTTCTTTGTTGAGTGGGCGCCTTCCAGGAGCATGCTGGGGTTTAGACCAAGTGGCAGAGGAGGGCTCTTCTTTGTGGACATTGCTAGGCTCATCTGCCGTGTCCTGGGTAGTCCTCACTCCCAGGGTGAGCCGTGTTCACGAGCATGCATAGCTGCCGACCCGTTCTGTTAGATTGTGGCCCACCTTTCTGTCCACTGTAGTCTCCCTCCCTTCAGGTTGAAGTGACTTACCTGGGCTCTGTGCTCTCCTGAGGGTGGAGGCCGTTACCACTGGGCTGCTTCTTTGCTAGGCAGGCCATTATCTGGTTTTTTCCAAAGGTCAGAAGACCCTGGTGTTGGGGGCACTTCAGAGGGTGTGCTTTGGATGGTGGCGTGTCAGGGATTTAGGACATAGGGATGGATGATCTTGAGACTAGAAGGGCAGAAGATGCGAAAGCCAGAGTTTTATGGCCAATGATGCTCAAATCCTTTGGTTGTTTGAAGACCCACCACCACTTCTGTCTTTATCAGGTGACTGCCTGCCTGGCTCTTTATCTTATTCTTCAGCCGATGAGGTAGCAACGGTTCGTTATTAATGATTGCAATCATACAGTGCTTAATATGTGCCAGACACAGTGCCGAGGGTTTGCATGCCTTCTCTCCTCTAATCCAGAAGAAGCTCAGCCTAGGGGGTATTATTCCATCTTACAGATGGGAAAACTGAAATTCTGTGCTAGAGATTAAGAACAATGTGAAGGCAGACTTGAGGCTTAGGTCGTGCTATATCTGGTCAGGTTATAGGCTGCGGGCAGCCTTCACTTTCAACCAGCTGCTGTGAGGATTTAATGAGCTAAGGCATGTAAGCATTTAGCAAGGTGCCTGGCACATAGTAAGCACTCAATAAATGGGAGTTGTTTTTATTTTATTTTTTAAAACTGAGCCTCAGTGAGTAATTTGGCCCACATTGATGGGCTGCCGGGTATTCAGACACCACACCCTCACTGCCTAGACCTAGTTTGGTGTTCACATCCTGTAAAGTGACCACACTGTCCTCTCAAGAGAAGGGCTTCAGTGGTCCAATGGTTAGAGCCCTGTGCAGCAGCTTGGCATTTTCCATAGCACTGAGCCCAGCCTGGCTGAGGGATGATGGGAGGCTGTTTGGTGCGTCTGTTCTTTTCCCTGTGGTCAAGACTGCTCACAGTTTAAGGCTGTCTGCTCTGACTTGGTGGTTCCTCTACCGGGCCACCAGGGCCTGTCTTGCTCTTCCTAGCCAAGTTCTGTACTCCTGTTGTACATTGCAGGGACCCTCTGAACCTCCACACATGGGTTAACTGCAGAATAGAGCAGAATAGAGAAAAAGCCTGAAGCTGAGTGCACCAGCCTAAAGCTCTGCCTGTGCTCTGATAGCATAACCATTCCACCTCATCCGTCCGTCTGTCTGTCTGACTGTCTGTTGTTTTGAGACAGGTTTTCTTTGTATGTAGCCTTGGCCATTCTGGAACTTGCTGTGAAGACCAAGCTGGCCTCTAACTCAGAGATCTGCCTGCCTCTGCTTCCCAAATGTTGGGAATTAAAGGCATATGCCACCACCACCTGGCTTTTCTTCCTTAAAACAACAGGTTAGAGCAGGTGACCATTGAGGACAGGTGATGTG